GTTCTTATTGTTAAACATCATTCTGTACTTTAACTGCGTCGAGTCTGTCTAAAGTCCCACTGGAACAGTTCTTATACATCATTCTGTACTTTTACTGTGTCGAGTCTGTCTAAAGTCCCACTGGAAGAGTTATTATTGTTATTCATCATTCTGTACTTTCACTCTGTCGAGTCTGTCTAAATTCCCACTGGAACAGTTCTTATACATCATTCTGTACTTTAACTGTGTCGAGTCTGTCTAAAGTCCCACTGGAACAGTTCTTATACATCATTCTGTACTTTCATTCATCTTCATTCTACCAGATACAATTATTCTCAAAATTCATGATAACTATAGAAATATTTATATCCTTTTTTTAACATTCGCATACAACATCTGCGTATAATTGATATAACAGACCGTATATCAGGTTTCAGCACGTATCAAACACATTACACACAGAGTTACGAGACACTTGATCTTCTCAGGATTACACAGATTAAATCTGAAACAGAGTTATCGAGTGAGACCTTAGAGCCCTCTCTGTTAAACTTCAGACATCAAGTAAAAGATTACACTAATACACCGTACTTTCGTACTGTAAAACATCAGTGTCAAAATCACGTCTATTTTTTAGCGCAAAGCTACATAATACGTTCGGTTTTTCGCGGGTAATCTAGCCCCGGATGGTTTCTAAATCCGTAAAAGTTTACTGCTGACCCTCTGGGGGTCATTTTGCTCTATTAACAGCTTATTTACGGTGTATTACGAGTAATTCTGCTACCCTGATTCCCCCGTTAAAACCCAGTAAAATGTTTCACAGTGTATCGTGCCCTCTAATGACAACGTTAAAAACCGAGTTTCGATACCCGTGGTGGGCAGAACAAAGATAGTCATTGTGTAGTTTTTGCTTAGAAACAAACAAACAAACCATAGTGTAGTGTCCTATACTGTTTTGTTGTTGTTGTTAAGCGCAAAGCTACACAATGACTATCTGTGCTGTGGCCACCACAGGTATCGAAACCCGGTTTTTAGCGTTATAACGTTCTATTTTGTCTATTCTTTGGACGTCTAACTTAACGAAGAGCAAGAGCTGAAATAATTTTCTAGGGCTTATTTCGAGAACTAGTTTATAAATTGTTATATTTTAAGTTTTGTGTTAGAAGAAAATAACACGAAAAAAACACAAAAAACGCTGAACTTTATAAGAGGCACATTTTCATGCAATTATACGAATTTTCAACTTTTAAGATTACTTTAAATAAAAAAGACGTCTATAATTTTATGACATAAAAACTTCACTAAAGAAAGTAGTATCCTTTGACTGAAATATTCTAATCACGAGAAGGAGAAAAAAACAAGAAGCGTTACAGGGTGAACATGGCTACTACATGTATTGATTAAGCTAGAGTCACAATTCCTGCCCGGTCTTAGCTTTACTGTCTAGATAAACTAGTTACCGATTTACTGCATTTAAGTTCTTACTTTTATCATCAACTTGATCAACGACGATTTTAATATTTTCTCTTTCTGGTGCTGAAGCTCGCCGCTCGGGTTTACACGTCTCGTCACGTGGGAGGTCCAGCGAGTGGGTGCTGTGTCTTTCCACTGGCTCTACTCCGAGCTGGTTTTCGGGCACGGGCACACGGGGTAAAGCCCTGCCTGTGCTGTGACGTCTGTGTGGCTCCTCGTTTGGTGGATAAAGGCGGGTCGATGGGACGACGTCGGCGACCGTGTCCACAAACACACTTGGTATGCTTCTTCTCAGGGCCACAGTAGGGTAAGTGAAGACCTCTTGGTCCTCTAGAGAAACGGATTTATCAGTCTGCGAGTGACCCATCTCGTGTTCGTCTGGAGAAGGTGAACTATCCAGAGTTCCTGAACGGTCCTTATCGAAAACTGTGGTATGCATCCTGGATTTCTGGAGTTTTATATGTGATTTTATTCCTAGTCGTTCACTAAAATAACAGGAGTCATAGCGTTCACCGCGTCCACTACGATCGCTAAGAGGTGAAATCTCTCCACTGACGTCACCAAGGTCAGAACTGTCCGAGCTGTGTTGTCCAAAGGTAGCGGCTGGTGAAGATTTGTCGGCGGTTTGAGCAGTCGCATGCCATCTCCACTTGTCCAAAGTTTCCACTGATCCACCAAGTGTTCTGTGAGACGCGTCACCACGAGTCTGGAGTTCTGCTCTGGATATAGTAGAATCGGAATCCGGTTCTTCCACGTAAAACTTCTGACGTTGTATACGTAACCGTTTTCTAATCCTGTTTCGTCTTCGTTTTTCTTCAACTTCCTCATGAATGAATTCATCCACCGAACTCTCAGAATCTAAAGACGTATGCTGTTGAAAGAGGTCTTTCTGGTGATGATGGCCAGTGACTGCGTCGGTGTACGATCCATGTGAAGACTGATTACCTTTTGTACCTCTCTGATCATCAAATGAAGTTTTTCTGTCCAGTGACAGGTGTCCTTCTCCAGAGTGGCTGATGATCTTTCTCTCTGGAAACGAGCCTCTGGTTCCACTTCTGTTGCCCCGTCGTACTTTCAAGGATTCTCTGGGACATTCAGTCGATTTCTGTCTTTCGACTGGTGGTCTAGAGTCCCGGCAGATTCTCGTTTTATGGGCGTGGTTCTTCTCTCGCCTCTGGTCAGGGTCATCCAAACTGAAGCTCCTTTCTGGTTCGTCTGCAAAACTACCACTCCGCCTCTTCTCTAGGCTCTTCGTAGGGCCACCTTTTAAGCCAATCTTCTCCTCCCGGTCCACCGATTGCTCCGGAACTAAAACTGACCCCTCTCTTCCCAAATGTCTCATTTTCTGAGTCTAAAAAACGAGCATACTAACATAAGTGAAACAAAACAAGACACTATTTCAAGAAATCAATTTCAATTAGAAATCATACAAACAATAGGTGTACACATATTCGTGATATTTTATAATCATTAAACAAACAATTTGATCACAATCTACATAAAACTATGGAAACATTCAGGTTTACTGGAGCGAGACTGTGATAAGTGAGAAAAGACTTGTACTTAAGGGTTTACATGTTATATTTCTATATGACATGAGATCTAAATATCTATCTCGATGTACTTGCAGAAAGAAACAAAGTAAAGTCAGTATTTTTAATATATGTATATGAAGTGCAGCTTGCCATTCGTCGGACTGATGGAACACGGTGCATCCCAGCACCTGGCGGTGGTTCTAAACCTGAACGATCCTGACCCTGGCTACGGCGACGACAAAAACTGCATTTCCACTGCTAGGAAAACAGATTAAAAATATGAACGAACATACAGTAAAGTTTTTTTTTTTTTACCACAATATCTACAAGGAACAAGTAGCTGGCAAAGTAAAATTATCTTAAAACTGTATTTATTCTATGAATTCACACAAGTTATACACAAACCGCCATCTACCGGACATACCCATCAATCAATACATACAGTTTGGAAAAATATGTTTTACCTATGTTTTGGCAAATTATATTAAAATTAGAAGTACAACTTTTTAATACTATTGCCTGGTATATATAAAAGAATATTTTACCAAACTTTATACCAAGAAAGTTAAAAAATATTACTAAGTGAGACACCTGGTGAGCACTTTTGGAACCTTTTGAGTAGGACGCACAGTCTTCACACACCGCTTGTCTGCATTCGTCACACCTGTGGCTTTGTTCGTCTCCTCCGATAGCCTTGCGGCAAATTCTGCAAGTTTCTTGGTCAGCGGAGCTGGTCTGTCTGAACATCAGTGAGGATCCTCCAGTGCTAAAAGGGGGGGGGGGTATATTCATCACCATTGAAACCAAATCCATTCCTATCAATTAAGCAACTACAATAACTACAAACATCTGTTATGTATTAGCAGCAACTACAAACATCTGTATGTATTAGCAGTAACTACAAACAACTGTTATATATTAGCAGTAGCTACAAACATCTGTTATATATTAGCAGTAACTAGAAACAACTGTTATATATTAGCAGTAACTACAAACAACTGTTATATATTAGTAGTAACTACAAACAACTGTTATATATTAACAGTAACTACAAACAACTGTTATATATTAACAGTAACTACAAACAACTGTTATATATTAGTAGTAACTACAAACAACTGTTATATATTAGCTGTAACTACAAACACTGTTATATATTAGCAGTAACTACAAAGAACTGTTACATATTAGTAGTAAATACAAACATCTAATATGTATTAGCAGTAACTACAAACAATTGTTATATATTAGCAGTAACTACAAACAACTGTTATATATTAGCAGTAACTGTTATGTATTAGCAGTAACAGTTGTTTGTAGTTGTTTGTAGTTACTGCTAATACATAACTGTTATGTATTAGCAGTAACTACAAACAACTGTTATATATTAGCAGTAACTACAAAGAGTACCAGACGTTTTTCGTTTCTTTTTCAAATTCCTCTTCTTTTCGCCAAACTCGTTCGATGATCAATCTCTCTTCAGTCGTCAAACGTGCAAGCTCTGCTCTCGGTGACCTCTCACTTCCCTCAAGCTCTGCTCTCGGTGACCTCTCACTTCCCTTCAAGTCTCGGCCCTCCTGTATCCCAGTGGTGACCTGTCGAAACTTGGTGAACGCTATTGGACGTTCACGTTCTTCCTCCGTACCAGTTTTGACAATCTATTAAAAGAAAAACACAAACGTAAGTAAACGTAGAGTAAAAGAGGAATTCGCCACTCAAGTAAACTCTCTGTATTACATACACTCAGTGATTATTCTGCACATAGAGAAACACACAGTTACAAACGTTTAAATCCACTAATGAAGTACAACCTTCTGAATATTCTTTATATTCCTTTTGCGTCGGTGTATTTATACTTATCGTCTTGCAGGTGGCGTTTAAGAAAGTATATTCGCTCTACACTTTGTTAGTTTCGCTAGGGTGACCATTAGAATATATAACATCGAGTGTAATATACGAAACATTAATTTACCACATGTGCAAACCTTAAATATATATAACATCGAGTGTAATATACGAAACATTAATTTACCACATGTGCAAACCTTAAATATATATAACATCGAATGTAATATGCGAAAAATTAATTTACCACATGTGCAAACCTTAAATATATATAACATCGAGTGTAATATACGAAAAATTAATTTACCACATGTGCAAACCTTAAATATATATAACATCGAGTGTAATATAACGAACAATTAATTTAACACATGTGCAAACCTTAAATATATATAACATCGAGTGTAATATAAGAACAATTAATTTACCACATGTGCAAACCTTAAATATATATAACATCGAGTGTAACATAAGAACAATTAATTTAACACATGTGCAAACCTTAACTATCCAGTGTTCGGTTATTTTTGTAGTAACGACAGCGGCATCTGTATGTAGGATTACTGATACCGACACATAATAAGATTCTAAAGTCATAAAATGTCACTAGATGGCACTGAAAATGTCACATCTTGCAGTGGAAGATACTAGCTGTCAAAATCAAGTTTTTTGTTACAGTTTTATAAATTTTTGTATTTCCACTAGAAAGCCCAAGAAAGCAATATAACATCCTGGATGTGGCCTGGGATAGACCACGATAACAGG